AAAAAAAGGAGGAGGATTGGCAATAGATGTTAGCTCAGAGCCAATCTTCCTCAGCAAAAAGAGGCGGATTAGCATGGATGTTAGCTCAGGGCTGATCTTCCTCACAAAAAAATAAAAAATAAAAAATAAAATAAAAATAAATAAATTAAAAAACCCCAGAAACTTAGCGAACTATAACATCCACAGATGAAATGAAGTGAAATATAACCTCATTTAACCTTGGGTTGTTTCAATGGAAGCAGAAACTCTACAATACCAGAGGTGTCATTCCAACATATTCCACCTGGAGCCTTGTATTCAGTACAGGGCATATATCAGAGGAGGATATATAAAAAGTAGAGTATGTTCAAATATGCAAAGAAGACCCTGAAGAAATGTAAGAACTAACTGGAAGGTGTTCAGCCTGGAATGGAGGGGAAGTAATATTTGCTAAGCACTTAAAGAATCGCTGTGTGATGCTGAGTATCTTATTTATATATTATTCTATTTAATCTTCAGAATGACCCTGAGAGATAGAGGATTTTCATTTTATGTAAAGATTGAGTGACTCTCTGTGGGCCACTCAGACAGGGAAGGATGAGACTCAAATTCTCTCCAACCTCAAAGTTTATGCTTTTATTACTTTTTGCAGAAAACATGACTATTATTTTCAAGCATTAAAAAGGCTGTCTCCTAGAAAGGAAGTGAGCCTCTTCGGAGTTGCTTTGACAGATTAAATGGTTGTTTCTAGTCCTTCATCCCCCTCTGGATCCTTGGCCTCTGGCTTTGCGGTTCCTCCCAGAAGAGGCAGAGGGCATGTCCCCATCCCTTGACCTTGGGCTGCACTTGCTTTGGTCAACAGGATGTTAAGAGAATGATTCAAGCAGAGGCTTGAAACGTGCTTGCCTAGGTGGGCTTGCCCTCTTGCACTCCTGCCACCTTGCATGAAAAGAATGCGCCCCACATGATTGCTGCCCCTTTCAGCTTGGGATCTAGAATAGTCATGTGTGGAGGAGAGCTGAGCTCAACTGATAGGGAAGAACCAAGCCATGCCACCCAGGCAGCTAGAAGCACAGCCACATGGCCAACAAGCCCAACTGATGCTCAGACCCATGAGTGTGAAAATAAATGCTTCCTGTTGTTCACCACTGACTTTCCCCTTGGTTTGTGAGGATGCATTATTGTGGCAACAGCAGACTGAGGAAAGAAACCACCAGGAGGCACATTTCAGTTCACAGTACCTTCTAACAAGTGGAGCTGGTGGGACTGACTGCCCGGAGATAAAGTGAGTTCCTCATTACTGCAGGTGGCTAAACAGAGCCTGGACAAATTGAGGAGATGTCTAAGGAAATTTCACAATCAACCGTGAGGGCTGAACTCTGTGACCTAGAGTCTTATGATTCTATGAAATAAATTGCATCATAAAACACAGTAGATAAATTCAGGTGATTCTGGGATGAATATTCCCATCTAGAAAACCACTGTTGCTTTGAAATCTTATTTTAACCCCTAAAATCTTCAATTCAGAATGAAACCTTAAGACTACTTATCCTCCAAGATGAGCCAGTTCACTAGCTATAAGTAGCCTCATTCTTTTGCCCTAATATGAAACAGACTAATAACAGCTGCCAGTTCATCAGTGCTGGGAAATCTGAATCTTGCCGGGGTTCTGGAGGGTACCAGTCATCTGTAGCCCCTCTCCTCTGGGTTCTGAACAAATTTAAAAATACACAACAGCAGAGAGAGAGAGAGAGTTCAAAATCTCCACTTTATTATTCACAAAGCTGGATTAGAAAAAATAACTCAAACTTGAGGCCAAATTAGGCTTCCTGCATTTTCTTCTCTGAAGTAGCATGCAGAGCAGGTAGATGACCATGGACTCCCTCCTTCTGACTCCACCCAGATCCCTATGGCCAGAGCTGTCCTCAAGGGGTGACCACTTAGGGCCGTTGGGTGGGCTCGTCCCAAAAATGAGCCACCCAGAAGCCGGGTGACAAAGACAGAATCATGAAGCAATGGCTATCAGACGTTCGCCATCCTACCAATCAGAAAACTCACCCACCCCCTGGGGCAGGAGCCACAGAAAGTAGAGCAAAGGGGTATCTTGCTTCGTGTTTCCCAGAGAGTAAAGCTTCCTAGTTTACAGCCTGGCAACAGCACAGGGTAAGTGGAGAGATGTCCTTTGCCAGACGTCATCTCTAATCATCACAACCTCCCAGTGAGAGAGCAAGGAAGGAACCATTGCAGGAGGGAAACTGAGGCACAGAGAGACGACTGAGCCAGCATCCACGCCCATATCTGTCTGCAGAGCTACATCCCACAGTTACAGGAGGTTTCCCCGGGAGAGCTAAGTGATGACCCACAAACCCCACAAAGGTTGGGCGAGTGCCCCTGCCACAGAAGAGTGACACACCTCCAGGAAGGGAAGGCAGCCTGAGAAGCAAGCGGTGTCTGGCTCTCTCTCCTCAGAATCCCACGATGCCTCGTGGATGTTTCGTCTGCTGTCCTCCCGCCAGTTCACACCAGGCTGCTTACAGTCCACAGCAGAGGGAGTCGGGAAGGTTCCCTTCCACCAGCTCAGGTTCCCACTGTTTTTCATCCCAGCTCCAGTGGAAATAGGCTCACTGAGGAGGTGGAGCCAGGTAACACCCACCCACTCCAGCAAGTCTAGGGATACCCTCCATCTTGCTGCGTCCATGACTGTTAATAGAGGCTGCTGCCATTTCCCTGAAGGCACTGCTGGTGAAAGTGCATGGCCCTCCATCAACTCTCTGTGTAGCAGAAATTGCTGGGTGATTAACACACCTGTCCTCTTTGTGCTGGGCACTTAGCTAGACTACATTCCCCAGTCAACTTTTATAGTTTGGTGAGGCCACGCAACTGGGTTCTAGCCAATGGGGCCTGAGCAGGAAATGTGCCACTTCCAGGCTTGGTCCATAAAAGCTGCCAACCTCCACCCTCTCCAGACCCCCACTGCTCCATCCACCTTTATGCTGTCTCTCAAAGGATGGTCCTTGGACCAGCAGCCTCAGCATCACCGGGGACCTTCTAAGAAATACAGAATCTGGGGTACCACCCCAAGCCTACTGAATCTGAATCTACATTTTATCAAGATTCCCAGGTGATTTGCATGCACTTTAAGGTGGGAGAATTGCTGCCCCATTGTCTTTCCCCCTCCACCAGCTGAAAGCACAGGATTCCAAGAGCTTAAGTGAGAGCAGAGCCACAATAAAAGGAGCCTAGTTCCCTGAATGACCATTTCCATGAAGAAGGCTGCTCTCCTATTAGGAACACTCATTTTGGACTTTAAGTAAACAAGGAATAAACTATTATGGGTTATTAAGCCATTGAAATTTTAAAGTTTATTTCTGCAGCTAGGATTACCATTATTCTTTTGGCATCCCTGTAGAGCTCCTACTTCCTACAAGTCCCTTTATTAAAGCAGATAACGTGAGAAATGATAGTTACTAAGCAAGGCTGCAAGACGCTCCAAATAGGGACATCATTAAGAGCAGTGTCCTAGGGTAAAAAGAAGCAGAAAGAATGAAAGAATGGGCTCTGAGAATGAATCCTTGCGAAGGAAGGAAACATCTTGGACCTCCATTAAGATAACTTGTGTCTTAGGTGGGCTCGAGTTGGGTTGGGTAGGGTAACATACCATGCTCCCCCCACTACCACCCTGGCCCCTAATATCAATATATGTGACTTGATATGCAGGCTCTGGCCTTGAGACTAGACAGAAAGATACACGTTTGGGTGCAAGGCTCAGAGACACAGATAAGATAATTTAAAAAAATAAAAGAAAGAAAACAATAACTGCTCACTTCACCCCACCCAGCCTACCCGCAAAGGGGGGAAGGGTGCGGGCCAGAGGGTACAGGAGGATGGAGTCCTGCTCATGAATGTCTTAGTGTGACTGGGGGAATGTGTAGTGCTGCTTTGGGGTCCAAGTGACCGAAAGAGACAGGATGAAAAGTCAGCATCTGCATCTGGCACACCCCACAAGAGAGGAAGGGGCACTGTGACGTTGAGAAGGGCGCCTACAGCAGCAGCTAAGGTGGAGGTCTCCTTCTATAGCTTGCAGGAAGTGGGCTTCCAGGAGGATTCCAGAAAGGGGCAACATGAGCAACTGATCTTATATTCGTTCACTCACGGGACACCCAGGGATTCTCACGAGTGACTGGGGAGAGCCTTATGAGGGCAGACAGAGGCCAGCAGTCAAGCAGGTGGAGGCTTGGGGGACACAAGATTTAGATACTGGATTAGTGTCCTATGGCTGCTGTAACTAATTAACACAAACCCAGTGGCTTAACACAAAACGAACTTATTCTCTTATAGTTCTGGAGGTCAGAAGTCTAAAGTCAAGCTGTTGGTAGGCCTTCTTTCTTTCTAGAGGCTTTAGGCGATAATCTGTTTCCTTGTCTTCTCCAGCTTTTAGTGGCTGTCTGCATTCCTTGGCTCATGGCCCCTTTCTCCCTTTCAA